CGACCAGACGTGGCGGTTCACGAGGCCCACTTCTCGATCCACTCCGCAGCCAGCCGGATTTGCTCCATTTCAGAGTGGTCTCCGCCTCTGAGAGATAGTCCTCTCGTCGGTCGCCTCTTCTGCCCGACTTCGGCCTCGCAGACGCCGACCGAGTCGTCGGCTCCTTGCCCGACGCAAGAGGTTTGCTCATCTCCGCTCGAGTCTGGGCCGGGCTGATGCCGGGCATCTTCAGTTTGGCATACATTACCGCCGGCTCCACGGCCAACTCGGCGCAGTGATTGCCCGAAATGCTGCTTCCGGAGCAGGCAGAGTGCAGGTGTTGCGTCATCCGGTTGCACAGCTGGCCGGAGGCGCCGCGAAGGCGAAAGATCGACACCCGAGCCGAGTGGACGTGGTACAGAATGAGTATGTTTAATCCGGTGATTATGCAGAACGGCAAGAAACAGTAGATGACCGCATCAAAGAACAACCAGGCCTGGTGCAAATGGTCGCTGTACATCGCCTTGAAGTCACATCGTACAATGGGCAAGCCCTGTTGCCGAGTCCTCTTCTGTCCGAGCCCAGTTTCATGCGTTCGGTTGACAAATGGGTCTTGATTCACAGTCTCCGCATGTCCGACGGGCCCGAATGCCCCACTCGACAGGTCGACAAGCATCGTTGCTCCGGACCCGTTCACGTCAGGCTCACTTGTCTGTGTGTCTTGCGCCGACATGTCCACCGGACTACTGGCGCTCGACCATTCAACGAGGCCGACTGTCTCGAGGAAATGCAGACTGGCCAGAGTGCAAGCGACTCCGAGCAGCAGGATTAATCGACGCGCCTTGGAGGGCGAAACCAGTCGACTGGCGTGTAGCGGTCGGCTGACGACAACCCCACGCTCGGCGGTCAGAGCCACGGTCAACCAAACCGAGAGGTAACTGCTCGCGGTGCCGAGGGTCTGGGCCAGCTTGCACAGCACGGCAGATTGGTCCTCCAAGTGGGTGTTCAAGAGGTAGTCTATCCAGTGCCGTAAAAGACCGATGATCAGCACCAGCTGATCAATCACAGATCTCGTGGCCAGGTAGACGAAGGCGGATACATGTCGCGTCGAAGGGTGTCGCAGCACAAGGAAGCCGAGAATGTTGCCCAGACTGCCAAGCAGAAAAATGACCGGAGGAACATAGCTCCAGAGAAAGAAATGTATCCTACAGGCGAGCAACACACTGCCTGGCGACCGAGACACCAGGAGGTCGTAGAACTCGGCCGCCTCCTGCTGCTCTTGCAATGAACCGTCTGTCAAGTTTTCCAGGTAGCTGTAATACTCAGAGACTCGGCTATCCAACTCGGGATGAACGAAACAAGGAGTCGCTGCCATGCTATGGCCAAATGGACGACCGAAATGAGCTGGAAGCTATCTTGAGCTAGGCTGGTCAAGTTCTCGTGGTTTGACAAGGAAACGTGTACATTTATGATGATGCAAGCATACAATTGCTTCTAACGGAAGTTGGATGCATTATGAATCATGAGTCATGTTAATGCTCTTGAAGAGGGTCATGGAAGAATAGCGAAATCGTCGAAATCCACCATGAGATGTGTGTATGAATGAGGCGACCGACCAAATCGGAATCCACTTTACTTTTTTCCTGCTAGTAGCTGAATGGTCAGAGGGCATCATGGCTATGGCCAATCAGAGTTGAGGATTTTAGTATGACATCCAGTTCCACATCGAAAGTGAGCAAGCGAAAAAGTGGATTTCCTAATTATAAAATAAACTATTTGTACTCATTAGCTTGTCACTTGGCCATAGTGCATTTGACTCTTTGTGTCTTGCACCCATATTCCTCGTAGCCATGATGAGAGCGCAGTTGAGAATTTTGTAATGTAGTAATAAAGTAAGCTTCAAAACGTTATATACAACATGGTCAAGTTGGTAGGAAGACTTAGAGGAACGCATCTAGTCCGGAGTCTATTGTCTGCATGATCATTTCCAAAGTTGCACCGTGGACGTGGTACATTCCCAAACATTTCGCCGGCATCGTAGTCGGCATCGTCAGTGAGTATCGCCATTCTTAGCACCACACAACAACTCGTTAAAGCGACAAGTGAAGCCGATCCTTTGACAAAACGTATGCTAAACAATTATGGTATCTCCCCTTCTGCCCTGGGCTATTCGCGTTTCCGCTAGCATCCTATCATGCCTTCACTATTACAATTTTGTTG